ACTGGTTTGTAAAAATGGTGCCACTTCAGTGATGTGAAACTGGTTTGGGGTTTGTCCGTCAGATACCCGCTAAAGCACATTTCTTTTTGTAGAACATGCAAGCGGGCCGTCGTTATTGCCTTATTTGTCGGACTAAGGTGCTCGTAAATCTGGGAGTAATCTGGGTCCTAAACTCCGTCCGCTTCAGGTCCCAAAGTCAAACGAACACTGCAGCATCACTGAGAGTTAAAAACTGTCTAAATTATTTCATCTTTAACCCTTTAAAGCCGGTCGGAGCGGACACGCTCCGTTTTGCTTAACTATTTTTAAATCCCGGTAGCACTGCAACCACGTAAGCTAACACAATAATTTCTTATGCATATGAAACCGGAGGAGTTGTACTTACATCTTATGCCATCAGCTTGTCCTAGGTCACAGTTTCCTTCCACATATAGCTTTGCAAAAACTGCATAAAAAGCGCTTGCAGCAACAAAAACATAATATTCCAGAAACGCGCTTTGCCGATCCGATCAGCTGTTTGTAACACTTCCTACGTCCATCAGTGCGAACTATCGCATGTCCGCCATGACCTGCCTAAAACCGGAAGTGACGTCATTTTGCGGAAATGTAGTTTTTTACTCATCAGGGCCTTATGAGCCTATACTGGTATTTTTAAAAGTTATGTTTGACTTTATGACTTTCTGTGTCGTTTCTGGGATGCTTAGGACTCATATTGCACTGCTGGAAATAGTTTATTTTGATGCACATGCTGTTTTTTTGCAAATTTGCATTATAATATTCATTTTCGTTTTTCCTGCAGTATATAAAAATTTGGTGTATTTAAAAAAAAAAACAAACTACGAGGACACTTAAAATAAATTTCCTGTGGTGGGAAACTATTTTGTGCAACTTTTTTGTATTTACAGTTTTGAGGGATAGGCCTCTTAAATTTCTCTAACTAGAAATATATGTTTTAAAAAAACCAAAAGCGATTTTTAATTTTTTGTAGTTTATTGCAGTTTTTTGCAATTTATGTAATTACTATGCACTTAATGCAGACATATTATTAAAATTTGGGCTATGATGGTTGTATTGATGTATATCAACTTGAAATGCTCCCAAAAATGGCACTACGACATGTAAAAATATAATATAAGCTCTGGCGGACTTGGTTCTATGGTAGGTCTTAAAGGGTTAATAAAATGATCAGCATTGCTGCTTTACCAGGCTATCTATGAAGTTTAACATCCAGGCATCCTTGAAAACAGAATTTATTACAGCTAGCGGAAGTTAGCTCGCCATTTTCGCTAGTTACCTAAGCATGATATTGCATGTTCTGACTGAGAGCTTTCTGAAAAAAATTAAACGTACAGCTCTGCTATCACTTCCAACATAAATGAAGAAAGGAAACTAAACAGCAGTGACGTCTGTAGGGTTACTGAAGTTGGGCTAGCTGGTATATAATGTTGGGCTAGCTGGTATGTAATGATGTGCTATGTGATCGCTAGCGACACAGCTATGTTAGCATAACATAAACAGTAAAGCTGGAGGATGAACAGTAACTTCTTTCCACTCGATAAAAGTTAACGTGAAGGTTCCTCATGGTTAGAGACAAATGCAATCGCATGGCAGGATGCTGTAAACGGACCAAACTTCAGTCAGGAGAACAACTGAGATAATCCATCCACAATACCAGGTTAGTCATTAATATACTGCAACAACATGGGAATAGAGCAGCTGTGATAGAATACAGCATTAATGAATCAATGGTACAGAAGTGGAGGAAGCAAGAAGAATGAGTTTAATAAAGTTTGATTTATCTGACTGCTTTGTTTCGCTTAATGTGCCTTATAATCCCGTGCACCTTATGGTCCAAAAAATACGTACTGCACACTGCAGTTTAATGTTGCAAAGCACCTCTTTTTAACTTCAGTGGATATTATACATGGTTATGCTCAGGATATGTCAGCCCATTTCTACTGGAAATGCCTTTTGGTTAAACTTTCAGCAAGGAATTTGCATTTGCACTGTTAAATGTTTATATAGCTTTAATGTACATAAAAACAGCTGCTTGTTTAAGTGAAAATAAATGGATGGGTTTTCTTTGCGCTAGTAAAGTTGTGGAGTTGTATTTTGTCTCGCATCAATTATATCGTTATCGCAAATTTTCAAATATATATTGTGATAAATATTTTTGGCCATATCGCCCTGCGCTAACTGCTACTTCCTGAAACTCATTGATGTCGACTGCACGTGCTCTAAACACGTCCCAGTCTACGTCGTTGAGTGCGTCCTGTAGCGTAGCTTCTGATTGGGCAGACCAATATTTCACCTCCCTTGTGGTTACTTCTTCCCTCCGTATGTTTTGTTTATACTGCGGAATGAGAAAGATGGCGTTGTGGTCAGACTTCCCAAAAGCCGGGTGTGAGACAGCTTTGTAGCCCTGCTTGTATGGCGCGTAGCAGTGGTCCAAAATTCGATCCCCCCTCGTCGGACACGAGACATGCTGGTAAACGTTCGGCATGACTTGTCTGAGGTTTGCTTTATTAAAGTCTCCTGCTACAATGAGGGCTCCTTGTTTTGAAGCGAACTCAGCATGTCATGTAATTCGGACAAAGCCATACCTTTGTCCGCTTGCGGTGGGATGTAGACCACCGTGGCGATGATCGAGGTGAACTCACGGGGCAGATAGAAAGGGCGGCACTTAATGCTCAGGAATTCCAGATGTGGGGAGCAGCCGCTGGAAAGAGTAGAAATGCTCCTGGCATCACACCACTTTCACACTCCTCCACCTTTGGTTTTGTTCGACTCTGCCGTTCTGTCCGCGCGGAGCACAAAGAATGAATCCGACGGAGTTACGGCCTGGTCCGGCACGGTGGGGGTCAGCCATGTCTCCGTGAAGCACAGAATGCTGCAGTCCCTCATGTCACGTTGGAAGGTGACTATTGCTCTTAGGTTATCGAGCTTGCTCTCCAGGGATTGTAGGTCTTAGAGCGCTGGCCGGTCCCTGACAGGACGGTTTAGTCCATTTGGTTAGAAAAGGGGCAAAAAAATACAGCCAATACAGCAGTGCACGGAAATACGGTCCTCGGTAGTCAAGCTTGCGTGGAAGTCCAAAAGTCATAGTTTTTAAAAGCAGTGATAAAATCTGCAACACTTGAAGGACTAACTATGTGCACACGTCTCACAGAGGATGCTAGCTTTATTGCAGAGCCGGGGCTGAAAACAGGAAACAGCCTGATATACCCGTGTCACATCCAGGGTTTTCTTGTGTAGGAACACAAAGTCTTTAACCAGCAGTCCACTCTCACAACAAACACGAATCTTAAAAAACAGTTGTATTTTAGTATGAGACCAGTCACCAAAGTCACTGATAAGCTACCCTCTTTAGTAGTCAGTAAACAACCGCACAAAGCACAGGGGAGGAAGAGTTTAACTCCAACCTGCTGCAGCTCGAAAGATCTGCCGAGACCTGACAACACTGAGAACTGGATTTAAATATGGAAGCTATTCCAGCACAGACGTCTGCAGGGACCTACAAACAGAACAGCTGGGTGGAAGAAGCTCGGAAAAATGAGCAGACTCACCAGCATGAAGCCGCGTTGCAGTTAAACGCAGAAAATCCAAGTCCGGGATGGCAAAAAAGTCCCTGAGAAGGAAAGTTTTGTTAGCCAGCGATCTAGCATTCAACAGAGCCATTCGGATCTTTGCATGCTGAGGCCGCGTCCCGTTCCAGCAGGCCACCTCCACAATCGCACATCCCCCGCCATGCGTGGGATGCTCCGTGACGGCTGGTGAAGCAATTGGCCTTAATTCCACAGACAGTCCAACAGTTTCCAAGTGTCGAAAACCATCACCCCGAGAGCGATGATCAGACGTTTCAGGTGAGTTCTGACCCGCACGGGCACACCTCCCTGCTCCTCGTCTGGCATCTTCTGGGGAGAGGAACGCTGAGTAACCAGGGTAGATTCCCACGTACATACGGCTGCGTTGATTGGTAAGTTGTTGGATCATCTTGGTCACTGTCAAACTGGGATTTAGACATGTTTTGTGATCATAGGTGGTTACAGCATCTGGACCGAAGACAACCAAAAACAGGACAACTGCACAGCACACAGAGCAGCTGCAGCTCACTTTGCTCTAATCTCTTCTCCGAGGATCACATTCAATCAAACAGCCCAAAGCTCGGTCCTCCAGCTGTGTCTGTATATCACAAACACATGAACCTGGGATAAAGTTTTAATCTCAGTGACAGCCATGCTCCTTTGGCTCTGCTCACAGGAAAAACCCAGTAATGTATGAAAGTGTGGACTTGGTGCAGCCAAATATCCCAGAATGCATTTTGTCCAAAAGAAAAAAGCGGCAAATGCGGAGGAGAGTGGCTAAAAGGTTCGAAACATGACTGTTTCTGTGACACAAAGTAAACCTTTAAGATATTTTAAGCGAGAATGTAGCTGTGTAACCTTCGGATATCTGGGAACATTTTGCCCGGGAACAAAAACAGATGTTAATACGTGGAGATCTTGAAGGCTGCTCCAACAATGATCAGATTATAGTTTAAACATTTGTTCAGTTCTCTTCCAAACACTAGCAGCTGTCTGTTGTAGGTTTTGAGTGTTTACTAAAATAAAAATAAAAGTGTTCTAACATCTCACCTGTTTGTTTTTATTCAGGCATACATGTGTACTATGTTTATTAAGAGAGATGAAGCTTGTGTTTCTGTCATGTAGTGATTGTGTTTAACTGTATGAAGCTTATTAGACATTATGAAACAGATGACACGTAAAAGTGAATTTTGCCAAAGTGCTTTAAAAAAGTATATTTTTTGTTTCTTAAAGAAATCTACTACATCATGTGGAATTGTTTTATGTCTCGTGTCATTCTGTATTGCAAATATTGTCGAACAATTGCACCGTGTTCACAGGAAGTCTGGACTCCGGTGTGAAATTACAAAGTACGGACCTGCGTACTTCAGTATTGACAAACAGCCCGTGGCTCTGTCCGAGTGTGTGGACTCTAACCTGTAGAAGATGTTGTTGATCTGGCGACGGATGTAGGCGCGGAGGCCAAGGAACTTGCCGTAGATCCGGTGCAGGATGGTCTTCAGGAAGTCTCTCTCTCGGGGATCCTCGCTGTCAAACAGCTCCAGCAGCTTCAACACAATTCAACGAGTCAGAGGTCCACAGGTCACACCTGCCACACCTGAACTCTGACACCAACACTAACAGCTGACGTCTTACCAACAGTACAAACTTTTGGTCGATGTATTTTTTGGCGATGTTCGGCTGGAAGTCCGGAGACTCCAGGAAGCGAAGGAAGAACTCATACACAAGCTGTGAACACACACACACACACACACACACACACACACACACACACACACACACACACGTTGGTCTTTGGACAAAAACAGGTCATGTTCTGACAGGTGCAGCTTTGGCAAAGACCAGGATGTTCAGCCTTACAGCAGGAATAAACATGATCACAGCTAATGTAAAAACTGATCATTTCACCACTCTTTTTGGGGAGGGGGGGCTTTTGGGTGGATGGGGACACAGGAGGCTGTAGCTCCTTAGCCATCTGTGAAGGTTCTCAGTCATCCAGGTCATCGTAGTCCAAGGAGCTTGGGGGAAAAAGCATCTTGACTTCTTTAAGTTTCATCTGAGAAACTTCTTCAGTTCTTTGGTCAAATGGTGGAGGGTCACAGGTTAAAGCCCTGTGGGAGTGTCCCCCCAAGAGGGTCGCTGACCCCCTATGAATCCTGTGCCTAATCACACGAGCCAAGGTGTGAACAGGTATGGGTCACAATCAGCCACATTTTCAGGTGAACCTTGGGCTGGGCTATATCATACCGTTCATGGTAATACCGGTGTAATTTTGGGAGACGATAGGAAAATCAAATATGGCGATAGAATATGGGTAAAACGCACATGCGCAGTGCCTTTGTTTACATACGCACATGGCAGTGACGCAGAATGAGAAGAGCGAGAGCGGATCATTGAATGAAACGGATGAACCAGAACTGGTTTGTAAAAATGCTGCAACTTCAGTGGTGTGGAACTGGTTTAGCTTTCATCCGTCACATATATACAACAAAGCACTATTTTTGGTAGAGCATGCTAGCGGGCCGTCGTTATTACCGTGTTGTTTGGAAAATATGGCGCACTTAAAATCAATCCTGGTGGACTTGGTTCTATGGTAGGTCTTAAAGGGTTAAGTGAAAATACACTATTAGTGCAAAAAACCCATCAAAGTTGTGGAATTGTAAAGTATTTTGTCTAGTGTCAATTATATCGTCAGTTATATCCATCCATCCATCTTCATCCGCTTTATCTGAGACCGGGTCGCGGGGGCAGCAGCCTAAGCAAAGAGGCCCAGACCTCCCTCTCCCCAGCCACCTCCTCCAGCTTATCCGGGGGAACACCAAGGC